CAATTGGTGTTTTGTCCCATCTATTATTGTCTAGTATGTCATGTCCCCAAGTTGTTGATCCATATAACAAAATTGGTTTAATACATATCTGAAAAAGGTGCATAAATGTTCTATAGTCAGTCTCTCTTGGCATTGCTTTCAACAGTGCATACATTGCTCTAGTAGCTTTGTCTGCTAAACATTGTCTTGTTTCTTGGAACTTTCCATTTGATTGTAAAGTTATACCTAAATAAATATAAGAATTGACACAACTTATATTTTGTTCTTGGAATTGAAATAACTCTCTCTTTCTCATTGTTCCCTTTTTGAAAATCATAACTTTGGTTTTATTAAGATTTACCTGGAGTTTCCATTTGTGGCAGTATTCAGATAAAATATGAGTAATTATACTTGTATTCCAGATGTTATGATAAATGCCTGTATTGAATATTAAATTATACAATTTATGGAGTGGTTTAATTAGATTTTTTTTTTTACTGTTTTTTATAAGTTCTGCACAGAACCCATCATATCCAGCTGATTTTTTGGATTTAAGTTTGTTAATTGCTATTTTAATTTCTTTTTCAGTTATTTCAGCATTCAAGCAATTGTTTGATTGTTGCATATTTTCAACTATTCCTGTTTTAGTCACAATGTTTTTCTGAAAGTCTGTTAAATCATCTTTAGTATTCAATTGTTTATAGTATTCAATTCATTTATCAGGTGAAATTGGGTTTTCTTGATTGATTGAATTCGTAGTTAACTCATTGGAAATTAGTTACACTTGGAAAATGCTGACTTATTGATGGAATTGATCAGTGAAAACAGAAATTATTTGTTGTTTGTCTTTAATCTCTGAAGTATTCCAGACCTTTGACCTTTTGTTCATGTCTTTCATGTTCAATTTACTACATGTACATGTACATGTATAACATAATCTGTGTTCAATATTTATTTATTCATTTATTGACATAATACTGACCTCGGAAAGTACAGCAGGACAGCAGTAAACATTACATAAACATATCACGTAAATTAATCAAGCATGTGACTAAATAATTGGTTTCAAGAAACATGACACATAAACATGTACTTAGCGTACCTAATCTCCGAGACCAGGATTGAAGAAACAATCATGCCAGAAACACTTGAGGAGAATCAGTACAAGATCCAAGGATGAAGAGGGCTGCTCAACGAAGTCAAATTACATAACTTATCAAGAAAGCCAAACAGATCGTTGTGGCGGAAAACCCGAATCAATCCCAGTTGGATGTTTTTGTAGCTACGATAACCGAAGAGAGGATCCAGAAAATACACAAAGTAGATGACACGATTCTGGAAAACACACCTAACCAAGACACGTATGATCAACTTTACGAAGAAGCCGATGACTACAACATTAGCGTAGTGGAGTGCCTAACAAGTTTTAAATGCTATGTGCGAAGAGCACAACAAGCATCCGCACCCACGAATAACCCGGCAGATATATCGATAACATCAACACCATCAAATGCGCCAACAACATCACACCGAAAGGTAAACCTGCCCAAACTAGAACTTCCTAAATTCAATGGTGATTTTATGAAATGGACGACTTTCATAGATACATTCAAAGCGTCGGTCGACCAAGATGACACACTGGAAGCATCTAGAAATACCAATATTTAATGGCGCAACTAGAAGACGAAGCAGCGAAAACAATTGGCGATCCGCTTCGCTAGGATTGCCCTTATAATCACTTTTGTCGTTTTGTGTGTGTGTGTGTGTGTGTGTGTGTCTGTGTGTGTGTGTACATTTCCAGTATTTTCACGAATGATTTCTTCTGTGATTTTTTTGGCTTGGCCGATTTCGTTCAAACTTGGCAGGTAGGTCACACCTTCACCCTAGTTATTAGGAAAAATCTGAAATTTTTTTTGGCCCACCATTGCCATAGCAACAGCCCAAAAAAACCCTGATTTTTGGATAGCTTCGCGCCAAATGTATCTCCTCCTACAAATTTGGGATAAAACACTTCAGACATAGCTCATTCTACTCAGCTTGAGTGTGGGCACAAAGTTACTATTTGAATTTTTGATATCTGTTTTCATTACCGAG